AGTCCATAGTATAACAAAAATATTATATATCTCTTCATTGTGTTTGCCCGCCCCCCTGGACGAGCGAACATAGGCACGTGCCTAGAATGCCTAGGCCTATGCATAAATCCGGCCCTGCATATGGATATTCGTATTCGACGGATATTTCATTGAGGAACCGCAGCAATACATAAACAACAACCAATGTTATTTCACGTTCGTCAGTGTCAGACAAAAGTAAACGTGCTTTTAGCGCCACTCAATGGACATTTCATCTAGAAAGTGTTGCAAAACAACGTCATTTTGCAGAAATGTTGCGACAAGCACGTTTTTCAAATGAGTCTGGGTTGACTGAAACAGATGGATGCTAGATAGATAGGTGGATACATATGCAGGGAGACAGACAGACATAATCTACACAGACTAAATAAGACAATTCTGTAATGAACTCCCTACCTTCAGAACATCTTAAAAAACGCAACGTTCTTGGCAGGTAAATGATAACACACGAGCGGGAGTGCTATTATAAATATTAACAGCACGAATGCCACACTGTAAAAAAAAAAAAAAAGGCAACCTATCGCACTCAACTTAAGTTGACTCAACTAGCAACCGACACCTTAAAAACTTTAGTTCATCTAATGATTAATAGTCAATCTATTGAGTTTTAAATGATCTGTCAGATCAACCAAACATTTTTTAGCATTTAGCAATTCTATTCTTTTTTAACAATCCTCTTTCTTTAAGATTAATGTTCATTTTCAAATCCATTACACAATGGGTAGTAATTGTCTCTTAACACTAAAGGTAAACATTTATGCTGATAAACAAATATATTAAATCCAGCATTTGCAAAGGGATGCACATATACCTCAGCGCACGATTCTCAACCATGGTGAGGATCAAGAAAATGTTAAATCAGTAAAAATATGAACTCTTATCCACATGACTGCTAACTGACAGTGACAACAGCAGCAGCAGCATAAATTAAGCCAGTAAAATGTAAAACAATGATAATATTTTAATAATAATTAACATAAAATATTTTCAAGCTGCAATGCATGCTGGGAACTTGTGCAATATTGTTCAATGTAAAATTGTTCAGATGACTCAATTTGGAAAGTTGGGAGAACATTTGGATATGTTGTGAACAAATACTTGAGTATCTAAGTAAGGTAAACAAAACAACTTTTGCTAGCGACATGTTTAGAGTATTTTTGTTCGGTTCACACACAAAAAAAACTGACTTCTACTGAAAATTATTTGTTTAGGTTACTTTTTTACATTTCTTTGTAGAAGTTTTAAAAAGTTGGATTTTTTTTACAGTGGGGTGATTTTGCATTTTATCCAAAACAAGAAATTAATATTGAATAACTTTCGAATAAATATGGAATAATTTTACACAACATTGACTGAATAAGTAGAGCTCCAAACAAAGTCAAAGCAAAATTAACCACTGTGTCTCTGAGTAAACAAACAGTTGAGATGTTTCCTGAATGAATCCTCTGAGAACCAAACTGTAAATCATTTAATGACTCACTCATGTATGGGATTACATCTCTGCCACAATTCTGCGTGTGAAAGATCATAATTTGAGCGCGCAAAAGTGTGTTTTGCACGCACGTGAACTGAGTTTTGGGGAGAAAATGTTTGTCTCGCAAAGTAGAAAGTATTTCGAGCGCGGAAATCAATTTTGCATTTAAAGTAAGTTTTTGGATTTGTTCAGACCTTCTCTTTTGCGCGTGCAAAGTTTCACTAGCTTGCTCACCTAATGCAAGTTATGCATGTTGATATTCTGATCATATTTTTTTCCAAGCACATTTTACCAATTCCAAACGACATCAATCTTAATAACTACTATTAATCTTGTATTTAATCATTTATAAGTAAAATATAATTGTTAGCGTAGGCTGGAAGTGAAAAACGCCTTATATTCAGGTGTGCATAATTAAGTAGGTTTTCTTTTACAGGTAAAATGGTCCAAAAAAAAGTCTCCAGCACCACCATTTTCCAGAACTGCAACCTACCTATAGTCTACAGAAGTACAAGGTGTCAGGTTCTCAGAGACTTTGGTTAAGTATAGAATCAGAAAATGACCCCTACTTAATAAGAATCACATACTGAAGTGTAGTAAAATACTTGAAGACTGATTTTTTTTTTATAGGCTTTATAGACAGATAAGTTGAGAGTGACTCTTGAAGGACCAGCACCACATCCTCTTGTACCACTGTTTGAAGAATTTATCTTCCAGAATCTGGCAGTAAGTTTTGGGAGTTCATTTTTAGTTCATCTCGAGATTTTATCTGTAGAAGATAACCTGCTTAATAATTATGCACACCTGAATAGAAGGCGTTTTTCACTTCCAACCTTCATGAACAATAATATATAGGTTATAAGTGATTAAATACAAGATTAATAGCAGTTATTAAGACTGATGTTGTTTGGAATTGGTCAAATGTGCTTGGAAAAAAATATAAACAGAATATCAACTTGCATAATAATTATGCATGCACTGTACTGTATTGTGTTGGGTTGGGTTGTGTTGAGGAAGCCAGCCGTCGATATTTAGAGAGCACTGAGGGCAGGCAACAGGTGAGCAAGCTAGTGAAACATTGCACGCGCAAAAGAGTGAGACTGCACACATCCAAAAACTTATTTTAAATGCAAAATTGATTTTAGTGCGCTCTAAATACCTTTTTCTTTGCGAAACGAACATTTTCTCCACAAAACTCAGATCGCGCACGTATAAAATGCACTTTTGTGCGCTCAAAATATGATCTTTCGTGCGCAGAATTGTGGCAGAGATCTAATCCTATACTGTCTGAGCCATCTCTGTTGAAAGAGAGGGTGATGGGCGACTGTCCCTTAATGGATGTTGTCTTTTATCTTTCTCTGTGACCCTACCCAGAGTTGATGCACAGTGCAGGGGTGGAGAGGTTGACCATGTCTGAGTAATGTCCATGTTTCATGTGGACTACCTCAAAGCCCCATGAGTTTTAATAGCACCAAGCATGAGACGGGTAGTTGTGCCTATAAGCTCTCATTGTGGGTTATTCATGGTGGTGTAACATGACTGTACACTGGCTTCAAGATGAGTGTGAGGGGCCAATTAATGGATTTTTATTATCGGAATGAGGGGCCAATTAATGGAATTTTTTACATAATTCTAATTATCCTAGAGCCGAGCTGTGTGCCACACTGTGCCACAATTCATCTAGTCAGCCACCTCTCCCATAGCAGGTGTGTTCCTAATGCACAATAAATGTGTGGCTCATGTGATGTATCCCCACCTCCCATGAAGGAAAATAGCTCTGTATACAATGTATTCTATCATTTATATATTGCTTTCAACAGAAATATATGAATGATAAACAACAACTTCCAAATGTAATGCTCAGAAAAACCAACGTGATCTCATGATAATTCGTATGTATTTTACGTAAAATGTGGTTCTATAAAACGTACATTTACTTACGTTTTTATAGGCACTAAAACGTACAATACTGACGTATTTTCAGCATTTAAACGTACAAAACTGACGTATTGACCTTATGAATGTTAAAAATCGCGGCATTCATTTTATTATTAGTTGTTTTTAGTTTGTCATATCAATTACCTTGTTTTCAATTGCATTATTAAATTGTTTACTTAATATGAAATGATAACATTTCATTTTGTTGAGTGATTTCTGCTGCCAGCTCGTTTCCAAGAATAGGCCTACATAATGTTAAACCTCTTCACTTTAAACCTTAAAATAAATAACATTTCTGCAATCGTTTAACCTTTACTTGTCATGTAATGTTTACTTTGTTTGCCATGGGCCACAAAAGGTGTTTTCTCCGACATGCTGTGACTGACAATAGAATTATAAAATACACCAAAAACGCAACATAATTACGAAATGAAACTGTTTGTGCGCTGTAATCCAAATCTTCTGAATCCATACGACTGCGAGAATTTTTAATAATTCAAAAAACCTACTTTTTCAAACTCGTCCTAGATGGTTTGTCTGATTTTCACCAAAATTGGCTCAGAACATCTTCAGACTATGCTGGCAAAAAGTTATAGAATTGAAGTACATTAGTCAAACCGTTCTCAAATAGTATCGTGTATCGTTACAAAACTCTGTATGTGTCTTCGGCACCCTGCCCTGATGGTACTCATAAAGTTTCGGGGCAGCTTGTGGTCAAAAGTTATAAAGAAATTTCCAAAAAAGCTAATAACTTTTATATTAGCCTACTGTAATGAAACAAATTGTTATAGTCTCAATATATTCTTTGGGTCATGCCGAGAACATAGATACCAATTTTGGTAGTTGGATGAATGTCCTGTCTGCCATTTTGATTTTCTTTAAAAACCTATACTTTTTCAAACTCCTCTTAGACCGCTTCTCTGATTTTCATCAAATTCGAGTCAGATCATCTTCAGACTGTGCTGACAAAAAGTCATGGATTTCGTGTCGATAGACAAAACCATTTTTGTATAGCGCAGCAACATATTTGAGGCATGATGCCAAAATGACTGGATGTATCTCTGCAAAGCTTTGACATATTGACACCAAACTTTGTGTGTGCATTGTCACCTCACACAGAACACACCACATCGATTTAATAACAGCACCACCTATTTGGGCAAAAGTGATAACCCATTAAATCAATTTACTAGTGGTTGTATTTATGATTTTTGAGCCATTTTGACTAAAATCATCTTAAAACGGCTTCAATTACTCACTGTTGCAGTTGGTCTGATGCTTGATGCCTTGCTTGCTTCTGTAGTGCTTAGCCCGAATAATTACTGCTTGCGGCTATAGTTATTATTATTAATATCAATGCATACACTTCAAGTTGCACTAAACCCCAGAAAGACATTAGACACAATCAAAAAAGCTACTAGAATATTTCAATGTAGGAAACAGTGCCCAGAAATCTTAAAATATGAAGAAAAAATGTTTTCTTTCATGAATAGCTGCTATTGAGGTCAAATATGAATGCAGGTGCAGACAAGTGGGATGTTACCTTTGACCTGTGCACCTCTCCATCATCATCCTCCCCACCAACACCCAGGACCTTTCGGGACTTGAGGCGACTCACAAGATCAGTCTGACTGTGCTTCTTCATGAGAGGTGGAGGTGTGGAAGCCATGGCAGCGGAGGAAAGCAGGCACTTCAGTGAGCTGTCAGGGGGACTGAGGAAACGATAATACATCAGCAGGAGCACTTTCTCAGAACTGTTTGTTCCTAGTATTTCAGTTATAGAGAAAAAAAATTTCACAACCAGTAATATGCAGGGTTTGTGAAATATCAGCACAACAATAGCATGTCATTCTGTTTCACATCTATGACGAAGAATAATCATAGCTATCAGTAAGGCTTTTTTACAGGCTAAACGAAAAAAGAGAGCAGTAGAAAAACATATAGACAGTGCAATGTGACCTATTGAAACAAGTCCACATCCTCCCACACAGCCGCACACACAAAGATTTAGAGGAAACTGTGTTGGCTGAATAGGGATATACTAAAAACATTTTTAAAGACAGCAAAGAACCAAGGTTATAACCAGACACAGGGAATGAATGTGTGTGTGTGTGTGTGTGTGTGTGTGTGTGTGTGTGAGAGAGATTTCCCTTACTATGCCCTTCATTCACAAAATTCTACATATTACCTGTCTCTTGCACATTTGTTACATACACTATACCATAATTTATTCCTCTGATGGCAAAGTTGAATTTTCAGCAGCCATTACTCCAGTCTTCCATGTCACATGATTGATGCTCAAAAAACATTTCTTATTATCTATGTTAAAAACAGTTTACAAAAGAATATTTTTGTGGAAACCATATGTTATTTCGATTTTTTTTTAAAACAGCATTTATTTGAAATATATATATCTTTTATAAATGTATTAACTCTAAATTTCATGCACCCTGAATAAAAATTAATGGTCGACCGATATTAGTTTTTTTTTACAGTCGATGCCAATATCTTGGAAAGCAGGGTGGCCGATGGCCGATATAAAGCCGATATAATTGTATTTATTTTAATTAATATTTAAGAAATTTGAAATCATTTGAAAATGGATTCAAAAATAAATTTGTAAAATAAACATACTTATACTTTAGATGACAAAGTATTTTTCGATTTGGACGTACCGAAAGTCACGCAGAGAACACACGATCGTGCAGGATACACATGCACACTTCACAAGATCTCACAGCTGGATTCGACTAAGTTTGCAAGGTTTGTGAAATTAAATTTTCATTAGCCATTCAAAGATTTGTTTAAATGATGTAAATGCGTATTTGCTGAATGCTGACGGCAAACGAGAAAGTATTATAATGTTTGCCTTTCTATTACTAATAATAAAAAAGCAATCGTTATAATACTTTTTGTATAGGCCTACATTTTAATTCCTTTGTTTAACACCTCTATCGGATTATTAGACAGACTTCTATCTGTATTAAGATGACGGCGAACAAGAGGGAGAATGTGAGCACTGTGTGCTCAGGCGCTGCCGCTCTCAAAATAAAAGTCCCGCCTCGAACGCATCGGCCAAACAGAAAAACTTATCGGCCGTGGCCAATATTTGAAAAAATGCCAAATATCGGTCGACATATCGGCCTTGGCGATATATCGGTCGACCACTAATAAAAATATAAACTCCATTTAACACATTTTACCATGTTTAAATTCACTCCAAAGATTTTGCTCCAAAATCAGCATTGACATCACAGAAACATCATTACTTTTAATTTCTGTTGTTTTTAAAGTAGGTATCAATTACATGACAGTTCATATAACCAAACATATAAAAATTTGATATAAAAAAAAAAATCACCATAAATATTGGGTTATTTTCAGAAAAAAGTAGGTAGCAATGACCCTGTGATGCATGAATCTCTACCATCAATAAGCTTTGAACAGCTTGAAAGAGTTTCTTTTTTAGGTGGGAATAACTATACATAATGTCTCACCAGTGATAGGAAATGTTATCCTGTATATATATGGAATACACTTTCAAAGAGGTTCAAAGACTGCAGATTTCTGTAGCACAGAGGGGAAGAGGACATGTTTCTCTGATATCTTGTGCAGACTGCTTATTGAACAACCCAAAGTCTGTCTAATCTAATTGATTAGTTTGGTGTTAATGAATAGAGCTTGATTCATGACAGCAGCTGCCCCATGTTGATCTCAGCTCTTCAGCTCTCGATCTAAAGAGGACAGAAAACACAGACTGAGGCTGCTCAACTTATTGTGAGTCACTAGACGCTGCTTACTGCTAATAGATTAACTGATGTTGCCGAAGGAGAACTGCAGGGTTAAAACTCTTGTTTTATTCCATTACTCAACTCATTCCCATTAGACAACTGAACAAGTCAGCTAACAAAAAAAGAGAGAGAGAAAAACTGCAGCCACTTGCCAAAATGGCGCACAAATGTCCTTTACAGAGGCATTTAACCAACAGCTGCCAGTACTAAATAGCTTTTTTTCTATGAATAAATAAAGCAGCAAACTTTTGAAATCTAAATAGAGTATTAATGCATTTCTAAATGCGATTAACATGGTCTCTAAAGAGGCTTTTGACTTTAACTTTATGAGATTCATAATTTCACTTTAACAGCTCTAGTAAAAGTAAAAGTCTGTTATGGTCTTCCACAAATAATTACAACTTCACAATGTTCCAGGACAGTATGCTAATACAAAATGATAGAACATAGTGACAAAAAGTCATCAAACAACTCTCATAAAAATATCAATTCAGTGAGATACACTTAACCATATCAATTATTCATGCCACAGTTTGAGTTGGATTCTCATGCTAAACATGGCCAAAGTTTCAAAAAACGATAAGTTTTTTTTAGAGTATGGCCCTACATGACATTATGAAGGACGGCATTCCTTGTATGGGCATTTCTCCCGAAAGATCAAGAGCGTGCCCATCAACGTGCTTCATTCGGGTTACGGAAGTCATCAGCAGCACTGCACAGGACTTGCTCGAGAAGAATGTCTTTAAAGAAGTGTGTTTTTGGTTGTGAGGGAAAGATAACCTTTTCAGTTTCCCAAAGAACCCAGCATTACATGAACAGTGGATGCAGTTTGTTTTTCTGGGACAGCAACGGAGTTTCGCATGTGTGTTTGTTTGTTGACGTCATTTCTGTGATGATTTATAAAAAAGGCCCAGTTTGACGCTAGATTTGCACATCATTTGATACTGAAAGATGGAGCAGTCCCAGCGATAAAAGATCCCGGTCATGAGTCGGAACCTCATAAGGTAAGTAAAACTGCATCAAATTTTGTTTTGTTGTTAAAAGCTTGCGATTCTTTTGCTCCGCCCACGGCACACCTCCAGGAGCTCAGCTGTTTTCGAAGAGAATCATAAAGATTTCTTTCTTTTAGAAATATGATAAAACTAAAGACTCTTCGGCGATATGAAGGATGCAATACTACTCTATAGGTACTCAAGATTAACATGAGATTGGTCGAAACCGTGTTTGTTATGTCCCCTTTATTTAATTTATGCCCCAGTGCATGCTGGGAAGACTGCAAATGTCACTAAATCATAAAAGTATTTTTCAGTGTAGCCCTATACCATAATAGCAAAGCTGTGTTGGTGCAATAACAGTAATAATGAAAGTAAACTGCCAAAAAACTACAACAATCAAGTAAATCTTTGACGGTTTTTTTTCTAAGACATTTTTTTTTTACTTCTAAAATTTTTTTTAACAATTCAGAAATCAATCTACCAAAATATTTTCACAAATCAACACTGAACTAGACACTATGGAGATTCATATGCATTGCTCTAACTGCCATAATGTATCTTATTTCACCAAAAAATGACATGACAATGAGGGATAAACTTGACATATTCATCCTTTTGTGAAAGTGTATATCACACTCCCAGCAGCTCATGAAAACCAGAAATTACACAGTCTCCCCATCTGTTCATTTCACAGCTGTTTGACATTTGGACTAGGGATGCACCGATGGGCCCGATACTGGTCTCCTGTACTCGTACTCGTTAAAATGCCCCGATACCAAACGCAAATTAAAAAAATATAATAATAATTACCATAGAGCAAAAAAATGAACAGTGAAAGTAACAAAAACTTGTAAAATAAATTTTAATGGGCATAATTAAGTGTGAAAATAACAGAAGGATATACAGTCAAACCAAAAATTATTCAGAG